TCAGTGGTAGAGTGCTTGCCTAGCAAGCGCAAGGCTCTGGGTTTGGTCCTCAACTGGGGGGCGGGGTGGGGTGGTGGTGGCTGGAATGAATACTGGTTTCCAGGTCTGAACATGTCAACAACCTCCGACCCTGACCCCAGAATGACTGAGTTGTATCAGCCCAAATGTAGACACACGAAGAGAGAAGCTTGATTTCAGTAACAGTGTGTCAGGATGCCCAGCTGGAACCCCACTTCTGTCTCCGTCCCCTCTTCCCTGGGTGGCCTGCCATGGAACATTAGTCCTGGGGTCCACCACGAGGCTGAGCCTATGTATTAGCAGGTTAAAGGCTCTGACAAGTCCTGCAAAAAAAGAACCCTCTTCTGTATTGTTTATTCCAGAGCTTTCCAGCTGTGGCTTCACTCTCCCCGTGGCTCAGGTGGAGTGTGTTTGGGGCAGGGAAGGTCTTCTGGCGACAGGCAGTGTCAGAATCTGTGCCCTTTAAAAGTAAACTCGCAGGATACCCAGAATGTACCGATGTTAGGCCACCGTGTGTAACCAGTGTACCACGCTCATGCAAGACTAGCAGGGACTCGTTGGGGGTGGGGAGCAGTGTCCAAGGGTCTGCTATACTTTCTGTAAACCTAAAATGCCCTGAAGATAAAGTCTATTTGAAACCAACAAAAGCCAGGCGGTGGTGGCGCACGCCTTTAATCCCAGCACTCGGGAGGCAGAGCCAGGCGGATCTCTGTGAGTTCGAGGCCAGCCTGGTAGACAGAGTGAGATCGAGGCCAGCCTGGGTTACAGAGTGAGTTCCAGGAAAGGCACCAAAGCTATACAGAGAAACGCTGTCTCAAAAAAAAACAAAAAAACAAAAAACAAAAACAAAAACAAACCACAGCCTCTGAGGCCTCAGAGAACTAGCATCGATGTCACGGCAGGTGCTGCTGGAGGCAGGATTGGGACCCATGGACACTTGACGTCAGGCTTCAGCTGAAGCTGGGTGGCAGGGCTGCCCTGCCCTCTCCAGCACTGGCTCCCCAAATCCTGTCACCGCTGGTTGTCTGTGCTCTGTCCCCTCTCCATTTTGAGCAGCTCTGTTGTCTTAGGAGGAGGCCTTGCTGGGACAGACTGGTGGGACAGGCCTTATACTGCTGGGTCAGGGTTCCTCTTTTTTTTTTTTTTTTTTTTTTTCTTTTTCTGATACAGGGTTTCTCTGTGTAGCCCTGGCTGTCCTGGAACTCACTCTGTCTGTAGACCAGGCTGGCCTCGAACTCACAGAGATCTGCCTGCCTCTGCTTCTACAGTGCTGGGATTAAAGGTGTTGGTTTTTCAGGGTTCCTCATTTTAAATCCTGCCTCTGAGCCTCCTCCATCTTGGTCCCGAGGAAGAGGCTCAGTCTTCTTACCTGGGCATTCACACCTCGCTCATTTTCTCAGGTTTAACCAATGTCCCTGCTTTCCATAGCCCTCTGCAAGGGCAGCCAGCCATAACAGGCTTACTGTGCACAGTATCAGCTTAGAGGTTCCAACAAGCCCTGAAGAAAAAAGCATCTATCTATTTTGAGACAAGGTTTCACTAGGTAGTGTTGGCTGTTCTGGAACTCTCTCTGTAGTCCAGGCTGGCCTTGAACTCACAGAGATCCTCCTGCCTCTGCCCCCTGATTGCTGGAATTAAAGGCATGTGTCACACAACCTGCAAGAGCTCTATTTTATATTTAACCCAGAACTTCCTAAACATACTTAACCACAGGAGCCCATTTTCCCAGGGCAGGGGACCCACACTGTTCCCCAAGCAGACAATGTATGTGCCTTGGTCTCCTCTTCAGTGCAACTGGGAGCCCCTGCTGGGAGCGAATACCTGTGCATGAGTGAATGAAGGCATTATGGATGTCGCCAAATCTCAAAGACTGTGTCTCTGTTCAGCCAGTCCTGTGGTAATGAGGACCACAGAGAGACAGGGGAGGTGCAGAAGGGGGGGCAGCACCAAGCTGTACCCTGAAGAAAACTCCCCACCCCTGAACAGCAGCCCCTCAAAACAAAACAATAAAAAACCCCAACCCCAGCGTCTCAAACCAAGGCTGTTTCTCCAGGGAAACAGGGAGGTGATTAACAGAAGACTCTGTGGCCTTGGGCATCATCCACTGGGGGCCTGTTGGCTGGCTGGAGGGAGTGAAGTGGATGTTGGCAGGCCCTGTGACCCTGACCTTGGTGGGTGAGCTGAGCCTTGTCCTGGGTGGAGGGTGACGACTCAGAAGTCCAGCAAGCCTCACTCGGATACGTCCTCCCTCTCATGCCTCTGAAAGGTGTCCTCGCACAGTGTCACAGCTCCTCTGCCCGCATGGACCTCAGGGCGGGAGCTGTCCCGGGTCAGGCCTCGCCTGGCTCGGCACCGGGTGGGTGGGAGCTGTCTGCATCTGTCGGGCTACGATGAGACCCCGGAGGAGCTGCTGCGGTAGAGAGAGCGGAGCCAGTGTGCACGATGCCCGCTGTGCAGAGCCGGAGCTGAAGTCCGAGAGGAAATGACACACTGTCACTGTGCACAGGAGAGGGACCCCAGCAGCCCCGCAGCTGCCATCTGGGAAGGAGGGTTCTCTTCCCGCTCCGGGCCTGCCTCCGGGTCCTGCAGTCCATGACATTCCCTGGGGCACGCCCCCTCCACCCTTCCTGTGCTCTGAGGTGGGGTCTCAGGCTTGAGGTTTTGTCTTCATCTGGTTCAATAGAGGGAGAAGCTGGGGACCCCGAACCTCAGCAGGCGGCCGAGGCCCAGTGCCACCCGTGAGCTCATGGTCACAGTCACGGTGGAGGCTCCGTCCAGGTAAAGGTCCTGGAGCAGGGTCAGTGAGCAGCTGTTTTCAATCTTGGCTGGGTCCGAGTGTCAACTGAGGCTGCTCACCGGAGGCTCCTCACTTCTCTTTGTGCCAAAAACCAACTTCCCTTCATCTCACTGTCGTGATGCCAACAGGATATGGCCATTGTCCCTCCCGACTGAGAAAGTGGACCCAGGACCTTCCCATATGAGCTTTGCCACATACTATGAATCTGTGATTACTTCAGAACTTAAATTTTTTACTTACAAAGATCTTTTTTTTTTTTAAGCTGTGTATAGTGGCACACCCCTTTAATCCCAGCACTTTGGAGGCAGAGGCAGGAGGATCTCTGTGAGTTCGAGGCCAGCCTGGTCTACAGAGTGAGTTCCAGGACAGCCACACAGAGAAACCCTGTCTTGAAAAACCAAAGAACAAACAAAAACCTGCATCCTTGAGAACAGCTAAAAAAAAAAAAAGTAAGTTGTTTTGGGGGCTGGAGAGATGGTTCAGTAGTTAGGAGCACAGGCTGCTCTCCAAGACGACCAGGGTTTGGTTCCCAGCACCTGCATGGAGGCTCACAGCTGTCTGTAACTCCAGTTCTGGGAAACCGATTCTTTCTTCTGGTCTCCATGGACACGGAACGCTTGTACACAGAAATATGTGCAGGCAAACACTCATATGCATAAAAATAAAACATTTTAGTGATTCTTCTTCATTTCTAAAACTGTGTCTGTGTGTGCTGCATGTGAATGGGTACCCTCAAAAGCCAGAAGTGGACATTGGATCCCCCCGGAGCTAGTTACAGGTGGTTGTAAGTCACCTAATGTGGGTGCTGGGATCTGAACCCAGGTCCTCTGTAAGAGCAGCAACTGATGAACCATCTCCAGCCCAAATAAGATCTTTAAAAAAAAAAAAAAAAAAAAAAAAAAAGCTTTTATAAAGGTATGTCTAGTTCCCAAAGAGGTGACTGTGGCTTACCCCACCGTATAAAACTACTTGTGGCGGGAAAGCTCACTCACAGACTCTGAACCGCGACCGCCAGCGTGACTGTTTCTTCCCAGCCCACCTCTGCTGGATGTTGGTGAGCCCGCATGTGACGTCCGCTTTGTTGGCTCTCTCCCGTGGACCACTCCAGCCATGGCTGCGGGGTGTGGCAAACTCCTGCTTGGATGATGTTTCTCCTCTGCTACTCACTGTTTGTACTTTTGCTTTTGCTTGGCACATGCTTAATAACCTCGTTCATTCCAATCTGAGAGGATGGCTAGGGCAGACCATCTTCTGGAGGAGCCGCATTAACTGGCCTAGCCTGAAGGATCTGCCGGCCACTGTTATAGAAAGTCAATCAGGCCGGGTGGTGGTGGTGCCCGCCTTTAATCCCAGCACTCGGGAGGCAGAGCCAAGCGGATCTCTGTGAGTTCGAGGCCAGGCTGGGCTACAGAGTGAGATCCAGGAAAGGCTCAAAGCTACACAGAGAAACCCTGTCTCGAAAAACCAAAAAAAGAAAAAAAGAAAGAAAGAAAGAAAGTCAATGAGGGTCAGGCTGAGCTGAAGGCTGATGATGGGCAGCCTCACCCCTCACAGGTGGGCCGCTAGAACAGTGCAGGATGTCGCTAACCCTGCAGTGATAGGCTCAGCACCTCGGCTCTCTGTTTATCGGCTGCTTCAGCCTCCTTGCTTACAAGATAATTTACAGTTCAAGGTCATTGAGAGCTCTCTAATATCAGCAGACTCTCGTTGGAATGTAACTTCCTTGGCGCTGAAGAGATGATTCAGCAGTTAAGAGCGCCGACCGCTCTCCCAGAGGATCTGGGTTCAGTTGCCTACACCCACATGGCAGTTTGCAACCATCTGTATCCCCAGTTCCAGGAGATCTGATGCCCTCTCTCTGCCTCTGCAGGTACCAGGCACACATGTGCTGCTCAGACATACATCAGGCAAAATGCCCATTCACGGGAAATGAACTAAAATTGAAGTAAAGTTTGAAAGATTTTTAAAAGGTTAAAAACATTAATCTGTGATTATTTATATGTTCTTAAACACCTAACAGGAAAGTATAGCAAAAAAAAATGTAATTCTGTGAGCTTTGGCCAGTTTAAAAGGGGGCAATCTGGGGTCGGAAGATAGCTCAATGGTTAAGAGCACTGGATGCTCTTGCAGAAGACCTGGGTTCAATTCCCAGCACCTCCATGGCAGCTCACAGCTGTAACTCCAGTTCCAGGGATCCGATGTCCTCTTCTGCATACATACAGCACGACACACTCATACATACACACAAAGTAACATAAATAAATCTACAAAGGGGGGCGCGCAATCTGTCAAATTCCAGTAAGTTACTATCTAGATGCATCTGTCCAGGGTTAAATCCTGTTTCCCTGAAAGCACTCAAAATGAAAAGTAAAGCAGGTCTGCTGGGAAAATCAACCAGCTGAAGACTTCCGTCTTCTCTTGGACAGAGAGTTCGGATAAGCCCCTGCGTCAAGCAGTGGCTGCCTCTTGTGAGCGAGCTCTCCCTGACCCGCAGGGTCTACTCAGATCCGTTCATCTGGGTTATATCTCCCACTCTCTTCCTCTTCTCTTAGCCGGCCATCTCACACCCAAACCCAGCTGCGAGACTCTCTCTTATTTTTTCTCACTGTGTCCCTGCACCGACCTCAAACTCACTCTGTAAACCAGGCTGGCCTGCCTCGGCCTCCCGAGTGTTGGGATTAAAGGTGGGCACCACCATTCCTGGTCATTATTTATCATTTCACCCTAATTTCTTAAAAGATTTTAAACTCAGACACTTGTTTTTCCCATACCATTCCTTCCTCAGGGATTTGGGCCCAATTCTCTGGGGTACGGGTAACAATGGCTCTGGCTAGGTGAAAAGGGCCACCAGCCAGATGGGTTCTGTCCTTGGGGTTCATGCTAAGGAGAGGTAGGATGTACGAATCCAGGGCCAGGAACTGGAGGTGATCCAGCCTTCCTATGAGGACATGGTCAAAGGTTGTCTTTCTGTAGTCAGAGTTATTGAGTTTTAGGGCCTTGAATCTGGAAGACAAAAAAATTTTTTTTTGGTTTTTTTGAGACAGGGTTTCTCTGTGTAGCTTTGCGCCTTTCCTGGAACTCACTCTGTAGCCCAGGCTGGCCTCGAACTCACAGAGATCTGCCTGCCTCTGCCTCCCAAGTGCTGGGATTAAAGGCATGTGCCACCACCGCCCAGCCAAAGACACAAAACTGAAGGAAAACAGTAAGTGGGGCTGGAGAGGTGGCTCAGCGGTTAAGAGCACTGGCTGCTATTCTAGAGGACCCAGGTTCAGTTCCCAGCACCCACATGGCAGCTGACCACTGCCTGAAACTCCAGTTCCAGAGGATCTGATGCCTTCTTCTGGTCCTCTGCAAGTCTCCGACTTGCATGTGGTACACAGACATACATGCAGGCAAAACAGCCATATGCATAAAATAAAAATAAACCTAAAAAAGTTTTTATGTAAAAAAAAAAAATTAAGTACAGACAAGCTCACAAGCCAATCTGATGGAGCCAATTTCTCAACTGAGGTTCCCTCCAGAGTGTGTCAAATTGACTAGAAACTGTCTCCACTCAGCCATTGTTTTCTGTTTTTGCCAGTGACTGGCTTAGGAATGAACACATCACCAGTTCTAGACAGGAAGATCTCAAAGGAATTCTTCTAGAGGCTTCTAGGCGATGTCACCTCAGCCTTTAAAACTGCTCACACCCACCTGTTGACATCAGGATGTCTGTGACACTAAATGACTGAAGTCATCATCATCAGTGACTTTGTTACAGTCCTTTGTGATTGAGGGAGGCTGGCCCGAGAGGAAGGCCACCCACAGAGAGATGGGAGAGCAACATGAAGAACTACCTGGGTAGAGCTGGAGAGACAGCTCGGCTGTTAAGAGCACCGCTGTTCCTGCAGAAGACCCGGGTTCGATTCCCAGTACACATGTGGCAGTTCACCACTGCCTGTAACTCAAGTTCCAGGGGAACCAGTTGCCCTCTTCTGGCCAATATGGGTACCTACACACGTAAGTGACATACATGTAAATGAATCGTAAAGAGAAGAATCACTCTTTTTTTGTTTGTTTGTTTTTCGTTTTTGTTTTTCGAGATAGGATTTCTCTGTGTAGCTTTGTGCTTTTCCTGGAACTCCCTCTGTAGATGAGGCTGGCCTCGAACTCACAGAGATCTCCCTGGCTCTGCCTCCGGAGTGCTGGGATTAAAGGCGTGCACCACCACAGCCAGGAGAGATTAATTTTTTAACATTTATTTTTAAAATTTTGTCTTGCCCAATTACTGGGCAAGCTTTAGTGAAACATTTCACTATTAGGATAAGAATTTGTACCGTATCAAGCTGATGAAAGGATATGCTGGCGTACTTTCAGGAGGAGAGGCTAAAATCTTTTTAGATTATGGATTAGCCTATAGAAAAATGTCTGCTGTAAATCAAACAGTGAAGGGGAAGATGAATAGGAACCTCGCTTACACAACTTAAGTAAAACATAGCTCTCTGAACAGATGAAGATAGGTCTCTTCTGTATCCAAGAATCTAATCAATATTTATATGTACAATTCAGCTATTATTTGACTTAAAAGGGCTTATTGGGAAATGTTATCATTTGTACCATTTTCTACAGAGAAAATATTTTACTGTTTAAAATAACCGTGGACTTTTGAATTATAACCTGCTTTTATGTTCAAGCTATCTATGTATTATTTCTCCTGCAGTTGTACATACATTGTTTTTACATTTGGAAACAAAAAAAGGACAAATACTATAGAATTGTATATACATGGAATATATAGAATATACAAATTCCAAAGCTGGGCTGAAGAGATGGCTCAGAGGTTAAGAGCACCGACTGCTCTTCCAGAGGACCTGAGTTCAATTCCCAGCACCCACGTGGTGGCTCAAAACCATCTGTAATGAGATGGCACCCTCTTCTGTATACATAATAAATAAATAAATCTTAAAAAAAAAAATTCCCAAAGCTACACAGAGAAACCCTGTCTTGAAAAACCATATATATATATATATATATATATATATATATATGTGTGTGTGTGTGTGTGTGTGTGTGTATACAAATTCATAGAAACAGGAAGATTAGACTTTATCTCAAGATGGAGAAGAAAGGAATATAGAGCAATTATTTCCTAAGTACAGAATCTCTGTTTTGTGTGGTGGAAAAGTCCCACAAATGGACAGTAGTATCAGGACATAATATCATGAATGTAATAAATAAATACAATTAATGTAATTAATGAATATCATAAATATAATTATTGAATGAATACTGTGAATGTAATCAATGAATACCACAAATGTAATTAATATCATGAGTTTAATTAATGAATATCATGAATGTAATTTTTTTAAAAGTTAAAATAAATAAATAAATAAACAAAATTCGTCTACAGAAGACAAGGTCTCACACTGTAGTGTAGGTTGGTCTCAAAAAAATATACAAATTCATAGAGACAGAAAGATTAGACGTTATCTCAAGTCGGAGAAGAAAGGAATATAGAGCAATGATTTTTTAAGTACAGAATCTCTGTTTTGTGTGATGGAAAAGTCCCACAAACGGACAGTAGTTATCAGGACATAATATCATGAATGTAATAAATCATATCATTAAATATAGTTATTGAATGAATACTGTGAATGCAATCAATGAATACCACAAATGGAATTAATATCATGAGTGTAATTAATATCTTGAATGTAAAAATGAAGTAAAATTAAAAAAAAAAATTCACATGGGTGAGTGTTTTTGCTTGCATGTATGTCTGTGCGGTGCTCTTGCAGGTCAGCAGAGGGTGTTGGATCCTCTACACCAATGGTTCTCAACCTTCCTAACACTGTGACCCTTCAATACAGTTCCTCATTTTGTGGTGACCCCAACCGTAACATTGTTTTCAATGTTACTTCATCGTTTTAATTATGCTACTGTTATGAATCATAATGTAAATATCTAATATTTGACACACACCCCCAAAGGGTTTGCGACCCACAGGTTGATAATCACTTCTCTGGAGCTCCATTTACAAACGTTGTGAGCCACCATGTGATTGCTGGGAATCTCACTCAGGTCTTCTGGAAGAACAGCCAGTGCTCTTAACCACCGAGCCACGTCTACAGCCCCCCTCAAAGATGTATTTTTATTATTTTAAATTATGTGTATGTGTGAGCACATGTGTATGAGTGCAGGTATCCCCCAGAAGCCAGGGGCCTTGAATCCTTTTGGAGCTGGAGTTACAGGAAGTTGTAAACTGACTGATGTGGTGGCTAGGAACCGAGCTCAGGTCCTCTGGAAGAGCGGAAGTGCACCTAACTGCTGAGTTCTCTCTCCAGGCCCCAGTGTTGTAGCTTTTTACGTCATTTAGGGATATTTGAGGTGGAATCTTTCTGGCAGCCAAAGCATCCTGTGGTCCCAGGATGAAGTTGGGGCAATAGAGCCAAGGGACACTTGCGCAGCCTGCAGGGAGCCCTTGGTCTGCGCAGCCCTGATGGTCCAGTGATAATCCTTGAATGGGTAGCCACTGGGACCTCAGTATGGAGTCTGTGGCAGGCCTCACCAGCAATTACAGACCACGGCTGGGGCCCCCACTGTTGAAGCAAAGCCACGGCCTCGCTGATTACGACAAGTGATTATTTTCAGCAGGAAAACCTGTTCTAGCCTTGTGCCTAGGTCGTGGGGAAACTCAAGCACTGGAGTTAGTACACGCTATCCTCTACCCATTGTCTGGGCCACTCAGCACTGACGCTGCTTACCAGACTGTAGCCGTTCCTGAAAACACAACAGGTCGTAGTTACTCATACCTGCTCCATTCCAGTCCAACAGCTGGCCACAGAGCACCGCAGAAGGCCCCAGTGAGGAGAGCTGGGCCTCTGACCGACTGCGGCAACACCTCGTGAGACTGGGAGGCTGGCATCCAGGGTGCATTAAGTGCGCTGAGTCACAAAGCAATGAGTTGAGATTGCAGCTGCTTCTGTAATTAGAAGAGATAGGGATGGAGACAGAGGGATGGAAGGCGGACATCACCTTTCATGACTAAGTCTCATGACTTACTCACCAAATAAGAGCCTCTCATCGCCACGGCTCGGGCCTCGCCTGCTTGGGATTCAGGGAGTACTGCCTCTAGAAAAAGATGGAGCAGCGTTTTCCCACTGGTCATTTTAAGTCTTTAATTTTTTAAGAATTTTATCTATCTATCTATCTATCTATCTATCTATCTATCTATCTATCTATCTATCTATCCATCTATCTATCTATCTATCATCTTTGGTTTTTCGAGGCAGGGTTTCTCTGTGTAGCCCTGACTGTCCTGGAACTTGGTCTGTAGACCAGGCTGGCCTCCAGCTCACAGAGATCCACCCGCCTTTGCTTCCTGAGTACTGGGATTAAAGTTGTGCGCCACCACCGTCAGGCTGTAGTTTTGTTTGTATATACGTGTGTATGTAGGTATGGGTACCACGCGCACACAGTAGCTAGACAGGGGCATGTGATTCCACCCCCTCTCAGAAACCGGAGTTTCAGCCAGTTTGGAGGCATCCAACATGGTGGTAGGAACCGAACTTTGGTCCTCTGGAAGAGCAGTCATTGCTGCTGAATGCTGAGCCTTCTCTCCAGTACCAATTTTGGGTCCTCATGATAAGGGGGAGAAATGTAGGTCCAAATGTTGACTAGGAAGACAGACACTGACTAATCTTGTTCATTAAGAAGAAAGAAGGTGCCGGGCGTTGGTGGCACACGCCTTTAATCCCAGCACTTGGGAGGCAGAGGCAGGCGGATCTCTGTGAGTTCCAGGCCAGCCTGGGCTACAGAGTGAGTTCCAGGACAGGCACCAAAGCTACACAGAGAAACCCTGTCTCGAAAAACCAAAAAAAAAAGAAGAAAGGTTGCAGCATTAGGGTGAGGGTGGGGGTCTCAGCCAATGCGGCTTTTACTCTGGTCTTGCTCTATGATGTCCAGTGGAAAAAGCCAGCGAACACTCCTGCACCCTGAAAGGAGTTACCAAGCTAGATCATTTCACTGGAGGATCTACTGTGTTAACTTTGTCCTGGAGGGCCTATGTGGATTGAGAGCATGAGATAAAGGGTGGAGGATAGGGCCTACACATGCTGAAAGTCTGGTCCTTACGAGGGTCAGGTTCAAGGTTAGAATTTGTTTTAGAAGCTTGGTGTGGTGGTGCATGCCTTTAATCCCAGCACTCAGGAGAAAGGAGCAGATGAATCTCTGTGAGTTCAAGGCCAGCCTGGTCTACACTTTAAATTCTAGGCCACCTAGGGCTACATTCTCTTTCTCTCTCTACCTTTATCTATCTGTCTATCTAATATCTATCTGTCTGTCTGTCTATCATCTATATATCTGGCTGACTGGAGGACCGTCCCCATTTACAAATTGGATGATATACAGTTTGTAAATCATTAATAAAAGCCAGTGAGAAGTCCGAGACTGAATGTGTTCTTGGGTATACATTTCTCTTCACTGGATCAGACTTGCAGCTAGCTCAATAGCTGGTCTTTCCAAGCTGTAGGGTACAGTTCAAATGTCCCTTCTCCAGAGTCTTCCTCCCTAGCTGGATGCATGGCCTCTCTTGCCTTCCAAGTCGGCTGGCATCTCTTGAGATGCTCATATTCTGAGGCATTTCAAGTTCCTGATATATATGTATTTGCTATATCCAATCTCATGTGGCCTAACTTTCCTTCTTTCTTTCTTAAGACTTATTTATTTATTATGTATACAGTATTCTGTCTGTGTAACCGTGACTGTCCTGGAGCTCTCTCTGTAGATGAGGTGGGCCTCGAACTCACAGAGATCCACTTGCTTCTTCCTCCCCAGTGCTGGGATCAAAGATATGTGCCACCACAGCCCGGCCCGCTTTGACTCTTAAAAACCAGTATTGGTGGGGTGCCGAGATGGAGCAGTGAGTAAAGGCACTTGCTACCAAGGCCTGAAGAGTTAAACCCTTTGAAGCCACACTGTAGGAGATAACCAACTCCTCCTACAGGCTGCCCTCTGACCTCCACCCTGGCCACTGTGGTATGAGTGAGCTAAATAAATAAATACAATTAAAGGAAAACCTGAAGTAAAACTGTAGAGGAATGGAAGGACTTAGAATATACATTAAAGGAGCTCAACAGTCTCAGAAAGGAAAAAAGCATTTGTTTTTCCTAATACTCTGATCCTATGTTGCTATGTAAACAAGTATACATGAGGGAACAGGATAACATGTAGAAAAGATAATGAGAAACATGAGGTGATGAGAAGGACCGAATGCAGACAAAGGACAGGAGTCATGAAGACGATACACAGCCAACATTTTCTAGTTTCTCATGGATTTTTCCTCTTTTTTTGGTTTTTTCGAGACAGGATTTCTCTGTGTAGCTTTGGAGCCTTTCTTGGAACTCACTTGGTAGCCCAGGCTGGCCTGGAACTCACAGAGATCCGCCTGGCTCTGCCTCCCGAGTGCTGGGATTAAAGGCATGTGCCACCACCACCCTGCTGGATTTTTCCTCTTTCTTGTGGCTGATAAATGTATTAAATGTATATTTGATAATGATAGTGTAAAACCCAATATGGAGCTCCACAGCTTCGGAATGGCTACCCCAGCTTTAGAGAAGTCCGTTATCTTGGTGAATTTTGGGTCTGGTTAATTTTGGGGTGTGTGTGTATGTGTTTCATTACAAGTTCTTTTTTTTTTTTTTTAAGATTCATTTATTATGTATACAGTCTGTTTGTACACCAGAAGAGGGTACCAGATCTCATTACAAATGGCTATGTGGTTGCTGGGACTTGAACTCAGGACCTCTGGAAGAGCAGTCAGTGCTCTTAACCGCAGAACCACCTCTCCATCCCTCATTACAAGTTCTTCACAATAACATTTTTTTGCTTTGTTTAGTTGAGACAAGCTCTCTCGGTGAAGCCCTGGCTGGCCTGCAACGCAGAGATCTGCCTCCTGAGTGGTAGGATTAAAGGTAGAGGTGTGTGTGTGTGACAATAGTTTTAATAAAAAAGAAGAAAAATTAACAAATATTGGGACTCGAAGGCAGAGGCCTTGTTTTGTTGAACTTAATTGTAGCACTGTTTAATGGGCAGGCTAGGGACTGATGAATTCAAATTCTTTAAGATAGCTAAAGATTAAAGGGAATTAAATTTAGTGCCTCTGGGATGTCTGATCCAAATTTGTTTTTAATGACATAATTGTTGCATGTTACATCTGAGATTACATCCCAGGGAAGTGGTTATGTGTGAGGTTATGCTACAGGAAACCAATTTCCCATGTCAAAACAGCAAATAAGGGTGGCTGTAATGCTACCAATTTAAACGTGGGGGTGGGGGTGGGGAAGACACACGAGTGAAGTCTCGTGAAAACGAACAAGGGAAGGTGAGTGTGCACGATTAGGTGTGTTTTCAACAGCACTTAAATCATTGTGCGTGCACACTGGGATATCTTCTCAAAGTATTTGTTCGTTTTAGTGGGAAACGATCCCTCCCAATCATGCAAACGAGGTCATGCTAAATAAACTTCAAGAACATCGTTCAAGAATCGAGTGTGTGACGTACACGTGCATGAAACTGCCGAAGAGTAAAAGATAAGAAACACGTCATATATAAATGTTTATATTTCATATTGTAAAAGAACATGACATGAAATTCCTATTGCTGTTCCTCAAGGTTTTTTGTTTTTGTTTTGTTTTTTAACTAAAAGTAATTGTAGTATTCTCTTTCTCCAGGGCTTTCCCGTCCACAATTAATCTTTCCACCACCACCCCCACTCCCACCCCCGCCCCATTATTCCCCCAAGCTTTAGAACACTTGACTAATTCACAGCATTTCAGCTTCAAAGCTTTCAAAACACTGCCCTGCTCTTGCTCAGCTCCACAAGCCACGCCCTTCCCTTCTTAAAAATTGGTAATTTTTGCAGAACGTTATTCCCACCTATCGAGAAAACACCCCTGTAACCACAACTAACTTCCTTGCTTTACTGACCTGGTAAATTCTGAATTATTTACTGAGGGGTGCCGAACACCTACACTTCGATGTTTGGACCCTAAGAGTTTATTCTCTATCCTCCCAACGGTATCACCCCGTCCTGGGTATCAGAGCCAAGCAAGCAATTGTGAAAGTCTCATCAGCCTTGCCGGGCAGAGGAAACGCTTTCAAAATATATCATTCATCTTCATATTCGACGGCAGCTTATCCATACATCCTTTATAAGCATCATTAAGTACTGGTGCTTAAGACTTCAGTCATGAGAGGTAAGCTTTCAAATTTATAGGGACAAGGGGGTGGCAAGGAGCCTTTTCTCTTATTTATTTTACTTTTATTACAACAAACGCCAGTTTGAGTCCACCTCAAAGTCTGGAGTTGCTAACTAGTCAGGCAGGCATCTTTTAGACAGCCGCGGAGTGCGTTAAATTAACCGACTCCTGGACAAATCAGATTCAAGGAGAAAAGTATTTCCCATGCCTAGAGTGACAACCGGAATTACGAGACACGCTCACTCGGGCTGTCAAACTTTTATGTTTACTTAAAAAAAAATCCACACGCACACACACACACAGATGAAAAAGTCAGGTCTGTTGCAGCCTTGTGTGGAACAAGAGGCTCACCTGGGCACCCAACAGCCGCGGGTCTTCCCCGGGCTGTCCTCCCTGGGGTGGGGAAGGGAGGGGAGGACAGGGGTGGACATCGCTAGACCTTTGTCCCGGGGCCCCGGGGAGGGACGACTCTCGGGGCGCCGCGCGGCCACCTGCGCCACCGGGGGAGGAAACCACACACCGCCGGCACGGACCTCGGGGGTCGCCCTGGCGCCACCTTTGTAGGGGTCACGGCGGGGGGCTGCCTTTGGGGGCGCCGGGTGACGCCACCACCCTCTAGCCGGGATCGGGGACGCGGCGGGTGGGAGCAAGGCCACGGCTCCCTGAATCCCGAGTGGGAACCCCGACTAGATCATCAGCTCCGGGGCAGGCCCGGGGAGTGCGCTCGGCCCCCGCCGCCGCGTCC